CTTGTCCTGCCCACTTTAGGGCGCTGAGAGTTGTCTCTCTTTCTCTCTTGCACTCACAGTGTGCATTTCTCTGTTTGTCTCTCCATCTGTCTGTCTCTTTCTCCCGCAATCATTGTGTGCATTTTTCTGTCTGTCTCTGTCTCTGTCTGTCTGTCTCTGTCTGTCTCTCTCTCTCTCTCTCTCTCTCTCTCTCTCTCTCTCTCTCTCTCTCTCTCTCTCTCTCTCTCTCTCTCTCTCTCTCTCCCTCTCCCCTCTCTGCACACACACACACACACACACACACACACACACACACACACTCACACACACACACACACACACACACACACACACACACACACACACACACACACACACACACACATACACACACACACACACGCACACCACACCATTACCATTACTATCGCCGCCACCACCATCACCAGTATCAACATCTTTAGAAACCATTCCAATACCACGTCATTATCATTACCGCCACCTCCCCTCCCCCACCCTCATCACCACCACCACCGCCATCATTACTGCCACCAACACCACCATCCCCACCACCATCCCCATCACCACCATCCCTATCACCCTCACCACCACCTTCATCACCACCATCCCCATCACCACCTTCATCACCCTCACCACCAACCCCATCACCACCATCCCCATCACCACCTTCATCACCCTCACCCCCAACCCCATCACAGGACCCAGAAGCAACAAGCAACATTTCCTCGCATTTTGGGCCAAGTAAATTAGCCAAGCACGAGACGAGGAGTTTGATCCCCGGAGACTAGCTGTTGTTAAACTTTGATGCCTGCTTATTAGTGCAAAATACTTTATTTCAACTAGATTGTCTCGTCTTAGATATATTCATTTTTAAAGAGGGTGATTTTTCTTATTTAGTAAATTGCGAAATTAAGGTATGTTATGGAAGGAGAAAAAGAGAGGATTTTTTTTTTTTTTTAGATTTAAAAATAAAATTGGGTACTAGCTCATGGAAGATTAATTTGTTATTTTTATCATCTATTTTGCTGCTATTCTCCTCATCGTCCTCTTTGTTGTTGTTGTTTTTTGTCGCAGTTGTCATCATCGTCATCTTTGTTGTTGTTGTTGTTTTTTGTCGCAGTTGTCATCATCGTCATCTTTGTTGTTGTTGTTTTTTGTCGCAGTTGTCATCATCGTCATCTTTGTTGTTGTTGTTTTTGTCGCAGTTGTTGTTATTCCACCCTCATTCCCCGTCATCATCAATATTCCTCTTATCACTTCCATATCTCTTTCCACCATCTCCTCTTCTTCCTCTCTCCCTATTCATCCTCCTCCCTCCGCATTCACCGACCGAAGACGTCGCCGGCAACAGCTACTCGAGCCCCGGTGACGCAATTATCACCTCGTCAAGACGCTGAGACAGGGACGTAAAAGACGCGCAGGTGACGGGAAAATAAGATGGCCGATTAGACAGGCGAGTTTGGGGAACTTGTTCTCGCAGGCGGGCCTTATGCAGTCCCTCATTAAGGGCGAATGTTGTTAGCTCGCTGAAGTTAGTGCGAGGCAGATTGAAGGGAGAGGCGAAGGGAAGGGGAGTGAGAAGGGGAGGGAGGGAGGGGGAGATAAGGGGAGGGAGGGAGGGAGGTGATAAGGGGAGGGAGGGAGGGGGGAAGGGAAGGAGGGAATGAAGGGAAAAAGGTTCCAAGGGAAAGAAGAGTGAGAGGAAGAGAAATAGAAGAAAAGAGATCAATGGGACAGAGAGGTTGGTTAAAAAGAAACTTTTAGTTTGAGGATGAAATTGCACTAAAAGATGTCATCAAAAGAAAATATAGACTTGCACACACACACACATCATATATATATATATATATATATATATATATATATATATATATATATATAGAGAGAGAGAGAGAGAGAGAGAGAGAGAGAGAGAGAGAGAGAGAGAGAGAGAGAGAGACAGACAGACAGACAGACAGAGACAGAGACAGAGAGACAGACAAAAGGACAGACAGACAAAAGGACAGACAAACAGTCAAACGGAGACAGAGACAGACAGACACAGAAAGAGAGACTCAGAGACAAAGAGATAGAGAGAAGGAGAGAGGGATCAAAACATACACTGAAAAGTAGCGGAGTAATTCAACAGCAACAACAAAAATACAAATTGACTACAATATAAAACACCAGATGAAAGGCTCTGGACGTTGGCTTTTGAACTGTGTATTATAGAGTAGCTGGTAAAGATTAGGCCAAGCTGGAAAAGTTAGAGCTTACGTGGAGGAAAATACCACGTACGTCATATGAATTTTCCTTCAGGTGTTGCTGGCCCTGTAATTATTATGAATGGATAGCTAGAGAAAAAATACGAACACCAATAAGTTTTCTGTATCAGTGAGAAACATCGGCAGATTTATACGAAAAAATGACTGTAATGAAAACTTTTAGCTTGAGGAAAGTAAAGTACCTCTTTTTGTTGTTGTTTATGTATCTACATATCTTTGTAGATGTCCATTGATGA